AACGAATGTCGAACTTGAATTTTGACAAGAAAAACGCGCCATAGTTATCAAGCCGATCTCATATTCTGCTTGGGTTTTACTGCGAACTCGGTAGTTGCGAGCTGCACTCTAAAATTTGATTTTCCGCTGCCGTCAATCAAAAATAATCAGTCGGTACCTTTTATATTCTTGACTGGTGGCAGTGATAACTAATAGAGGTTTTGCACCAACACGTGACGGCAGCCATGTTAGATGGCAGGAACAATACAATCGTTTTACATGAGAAAGGATTCAATTCCCGAGATCAAAGGGATTTTATTGTTCTGCCATCTAACCACAGGCAGTCCAAGCTGGATTATGGTGAAGCGTCGTCACTTTTTCTCTCTCCTTCTTAAAAGCCACCGCGCACATTAAAAAAGGGTGTGACGACTGGGTAAGAGTCTGACCAGTACAGTTTCAGCTCCTGTGAGCATCCTCCAGTTGCAGTTTCTATCACTCAGGTTTGGTCATAATAATTTACAAAAGACGAAACACTAACAACTTACTGTATTTGCATAATACAAGCGGACCAGGTAGAATTCGTTGTCATCAGTTTTCTTGTGGCCAGAGGTTCCACTCATCTTACGGCTGTGTGGTTGAAAAAAAAGAACCCCAAAAACGTACCAGTTAATTATAACAATTCAACAAGAACCCAAAAATTCTTTAAACTTTAAAGTTTTGTCTGAGAGGCAAACAAAAGGGTGTGAAGGGAACCGGGTTGGGGTGGAGATGAAGTGCCCATCTAAAACCACAGGGAGCCCAATTTAGCAACATTTTTCACACACTGTATGACGATAACAAAGGCGTAAGCGGAAAAAAATATGGGCCTTTCGTTATCTAAATTGGACCCCTTGTGCTACAACCGGAAATAAGAAAGTATTTTCTCAATCAACTTTAACAATTGTAGGATAGCGATTTTCTTTGGATTGCTTTTCATACCTCAAGACATACAGCATCAAAGAAGCAGTGTTAATAAACACAAGTAGTTGAAACAGCACAAGGTAATCGGGATATAAGTGCGAGCACATGACAATTAATCCATTCAAAACGCACCTACAAAAGCAATAGCAGCATGATGAGTACTGATAGTAGAAGGGTGGTTACTGTCTTATACAGCCTATCTTTAATGGTGCACCTGGATTCAATACCAACATGAGTACTGATAGTAGANCCTATCTTTAATGGTGCACCTGGATTCAATACCAACATGAGTACTGATAGTAGGATGGGTGGTTACTGTCTTATACAGCCTATCTTTAATGGTGCTTCTAGATTCAATACCAATGTGAATACTGACAGTAGGCTGAGTATTAACTTTATTATATAGCCTGTAATATGATTGATTGGGGGCATGTACCTTAGCAAAGCACATAGCATGTACTTTCTATTACGTCATTTGAATGAAAAATAACAGTTACTTTTAATCAATTGTGTTTCAAAAAAGAAATTTACAAAATTGCTTTCTGTGCTGTGTGCAGATGGCAGCTGGTAAAACACTTGAGAAGTGTTTGTAAGAGTAAAGTATGTGTGTGCATTCTATTTCTTCATCGTTAATTTAATATTATCATGATGAGCACCAGCCCACTTGTTTGTTTATGCTAAAGGAAGTCATAAACTAACCTGTCGATAACAATATCAAGAATCGCTCCAAAGTTGCTACCTGGAAAGCATTTTCAAAGCATGGTAAGATAATATGTAAAGTACTGTAACTGTTTCAGACCTCCCTTTCTGATTGGTTAGGGGTGTGTGCATTATGAAAGCATATCAGACGAGACCGCAGACTTCTTATTTCCGTAATATATATATGTTATTTACTGGTCAGGAGGTCCAGATAAGGAAAAACTGTGCCTGAGGTCTTGAATATATGGACCAGGATCTTAGCCTGAGGTCCTTTTCCAAGACCAGGGCACAGTTTTTCCTTATTCAGACTATCGCAAGGATGGTAAATAACATATTAAAAAATTTTTATTTTGTAATCATTGTTGTTTAGTGGTCCCAGGATACCAGGGTCCCATGGATGGATGGATGGATGGAT